AGTTTCTGTTAAATTCATCCACGCTGTCTTTTAGGAAATTTGATTCTTTACAACTTTCATTCTTTGAGTTTTGATCAATTCGAATTATTTAAGTATGGAACGGTGTAATTTTATATTTTTTCAACAAGTTACTTATGATTAAATTATACTAACGTTATTTGTTTTGTAGGATGGTGGGTCTTACTAACTTTTTATGCAGGGCTGACCTACCATATTTTTATTTCTATTTTATCTATTTTATAATCAATTTATATTTCGTTGTGTACGGACAAGAAACTAAATGCCACCGTAACTCGAGAAACTACCCATTCGTCTCGGTACGGTTGGAACTACTTGTCTTGTTCCGTAACAAGAAATAATGTACTTTTTGTTTGTGTCTGGTGGACACGTGGGTGTCAATTCTTGTACTCATACCAGTATACCTGTATACTGACCCGTTTTGTCTCTTGGCAACTCGGGTGCGTTCTGTTTGAGCGCAGCTGAGCTTCCTTTACAGGATTAGTAGAGGCTTTGGTGGTGGTTTGTAACCGTACTTTATTTAAGTTGTTTGGACTAGTTGTTGGCACTTAATGTTGAGGTATTTGTTAGTAATGAGATTATGGTGGATGGTTTAGTTGGCGTTTTTTTTTTTTTTTTTTGTTTCACCCCTAGGATTTGGATGATGGAATATTGATTGGGGTTAGTCCTAATATAATATTTAATTGTCCGAATTTTGGGGCGTGACAGAGATCTCTATCGGTTCCCTCGTTGGAACCACTACTGTTACTGACTGATGGCCATCATTTACTGCTCGGTCTTTTAAGACCTACTGCTTACTGTACTGTTATGCTAATGGATGTACCACATATGATTGTATCGACTGAACGACTGAACGACTGAAATACTGATTTAATGAACTGTTTTCATTACTGTAAGGACATTCATTCTTAACCCCTTTACGCATTGTGTTATTCACTGAGGTTTAGCTCACTGCTCATATATATATGTAGGTGTACAGGCACCAGACTGCAGCTAGAAGCGCCGGGGTAAACTCCAGTTTTGTCAAGCCAACCTATGTGCCTCAATGCGAGGTTCCGAGCCTGTCAAGCTACGGCTTAGGGGTGTTTTTGATTTCCCCGTCTGTCTCTGTATCTGTTTTGCATAACTGTATAGACTGTTACCGTACTGTTTGATAGGGATTAGGTCCATGAACTGAATGATTGTAAATATGTACATACTGTTTTGTCTGACTGTATATATTTGAATGAAAAGTCTTTTTGCATACAGATTATCACAGCTTATTGGACATTGTTTATTTACTGTATTGGCTTCCGCCAGCCCCTGTACTCTGTATTACTGTATTACTACTAAGCAGGCCATCGGTAATCTCGGATTACTGGCCGGTTACGGTGCTAAACCCATAGGGGCGGGTTTGGGTCGTGACACAAAGCCTTGGTGATGTGAATGCTTGTAAATCTGAAGTTGAAGAATGGTGTGTCTGTCGCCAAGCACACCAGTGAATTCAAGAATCTAGTGAATCAGCTTGCAACCGTCAAGATGCCCTTGGACGATGAAATGTAAGCCGTACTACTGCTTAGTTCTTTACCAGGCAACTGGGAGACGTTGGTGGTTTCTTTTAGCAACTTTGCATCAGAGGGAAAGCTAACCGTGAGCATGGTCACAGATGCCATGTACAATGAAGAGACAAGGAGGAAAGACATAAAAGGTAATCAGTCCCATGCTCTTGTCACAGAAGATAAAAGCAAAGACAGAGGTGGAGGAAGAGGCAGATGAAGAAGCAAGAGTAGAGGCAGATGGAACAACATGAGTAAATCTAGAGGTAGTAAAAGTCAAGGTAACTCTAGCTTCACTTGCTTTCATTGTGGCCAGGAGGGTCCCATAAAGAGGAACTGCCCAAACCGGAAAGATAAAGGCCAAAGCAGTAACTCAAAAGGAGATGAGAACACGGCAGCCACAACAACTGATGAAATATTTCTTGCAGTTGGTGAAGAAGAGGATTGCCTTCACGTGGCTGACCATAGCTGTACAGAGTGAGTGACAGGTTACCCTAGTTTATAGTTTAGAAACAATTCCCAGGATATGTTTGGTGTAGTTTATTGTAAGCTTAAATCTAATAATCAGAAAGCAGAAGCTAAAAACACTCACCCCAAACTTCCAAAAAAAAAAAAAAAAAAAAAAACTTATTTAAGTTATTTATGTTTAATAAGCTATAAGCAAAAATTATATTAAATGATCAGACACAGACTTGAAAAATAAAAAACACAAAAGCTATAAGTAACTTATATAAGCTGCATCAAACAATCCCTTAATCACCTTGTTGAGTTTTCAAAATTTGTAGGTAAATTACACTCACTTTCTTTAAGATTTAGAGAAAATATAATAAATTTAATAAATTTGACATAATTATATCGAGTTCACTTAAGATTTTAATTCACATAATACTTACACCCGTTTTATCAGTAATTCGTTAATCATATGGACAAATTGTCATCAAAATTGAGAAACTTGTTATATTTTCTTCAAATATTAGGTCAGTGTAATTGACAAAAAGAATATATGTATATATATTATAAAAAACTAAAAGCTAGTTTGGTAAAAAATTTTTAAAATACTCATCTTTTTCATATAATTTTTTCATTTTTGGAGCAAAAATAATTTTTAAAAATTGGAAAATGTTTTTGGGTAAATTATGGTGACCACGCTTGAGGTTTTGAAAAATTATAACAAGCACCATAAATTTGATATTATTACACATACTTATCATTTAGTAAGACTAAAATTATTAGAATTAATGTAGATGGTTCGTAGACAAATGAATAGATAAAAATAAAATATATTTTTTAATATAAAAGAGATGACAACGTCATTTTCTATCCATACCATTAAAGAATTATTGATGAAAAGGTGTTAAGTGTAATGTGAATAATTTTTTTTAAGAAAGTCTAATGTAACAAATTTTATGAGACGTGATGTATTTTTAGAAATCTTAAAAGAGATTAATGTAATTTACTCGTATCTTTGACGAAAATAAAACTAGTTTGACGGAAATAATTAAATTCTAACACAAATAATTGTAGAAAGAAACAAAAAAAAGGCATGTATTTCTTATGTACAAATGTGTGACGTGAATGACTAAAAATTAAAATCCTTAACATGCCAAAAAGTTAAGCCGATGAAATCAATGACAAAAAGTTGAGCTGTTGCCTTCACCAAATAATAATGATTGGAGATAAAAAACTCATATATATAAAAAAATATTTAAATTTGTTCTAAGTGTGAGTTCTATAATACAAAAGTTAAAGTTACATCATATACAATTTTTTATTTTTATTTTCCTATGTTTGAGTTTTTAATTCCTAACATTATTGTATACTAAAATACAAGTTCTAGGACGACACGTTTTTAAAAGCATAATTTTCTGGATTTGAAGTTTCTTGGACATCGAGGTTGGTTTTTCTCAAAAATACTGCTAGTACCTCTATAGGCATAATACATACCACTTCAAAGGTTCAAACATCTTTCTTTGTAATATGGTTGAGCTCATTAAATTCCTACGTTGTGTGTGCAACTTTATTATTTTTTTTGTGTGCAAAAAAACAAAAAAAACAAAAAAAACAAAAAAATACAACTACGCGAAAGCAGACAATGAACATAGACACTTTATGCATAACAAAAAGGTCAGGCAATTAAAGTAAAATTGCAAATTGTATTTCTTTCTGGGGGTGCTGTTTAAGTGTGCAACCCCCTTAAGGTTGCACACCATATGCAACCTAATTGTTAGCCGTTAGATTACAATAATTGATCAAGACCATTTAATTGTTTAATCGTGAAAAAGTTGAAACCGGGGCAACCGGTTAATGCTTGTATTTGCATGATTGCATCCCACTCACTCTCTGTATTTCGTCTCTATCTCTCTCTGTTCTCCTCTCTGTGTAAGGTTGAGTCAGTGTAACCCTTGATTTCCATTAACAGTGAGAAGCCCCTGCTGGGTTGGTTCCATTGATGAAGCTCTGTAGGGAACAGTATAACGGGCCGATTTCCAACAACAACGGAACTACAAGGCTGGGTTGGTTCCATTGCTGAAGTGAAGCCGTTCTCTCCAACTAGATATGAGGTATGGAGCTGTCTCCCTCTCTCTGTCTCCCTCTCTATGTCCTCTTCACTTCAGCTATTTTCCCTCAACTAAACCCCCATCCTAACTTCAACCGCTCTACGCTTCGCTCAAACAGAAACCTCTCCATTGACAACTAACCTTTCTCTTTCTCAAGCGAACGTTTGTGTTTGCACAAACAACTAAACCGTGCGAAAATGTCATGTTTGTGTTTGTGTTAACATTTTTCGGTCATCAATTAATTGTTTGTACTAATGTCATGTGCAGTATGGCCCCAACGGAACTTAAAAGGGAAGGTGATGATTATGACATTCCAAATGAAGCAGATGACATTCGTTTGATGAATGAAAGTCGGGTGGAACCTTATCATGGTTGCGAAGCTGGTCCCGGCAATGAAGAAGCAACCAACATGAACGTTGAAGATGGCGGAGCCGATGTGAAAAAAGAAATGGTTGACGATGCTCATTGCAATGACATGGTTGGTGATGTTGAACGTGCTATTCTGGAACAGAAATTTGATTCGGTCGAAGGTGGATAAGCTTTCTACAATGCGTATGCTAAAGCCAAGGGATTTAGTATACGAAAATCCAGATTTAACACAAATAAAGAGGGAAAGGTTGTTAGTAGGTTGTGGTTGTGTTCAAGGGAAAGTCAGAGATTACCAAAATACTTGGACCGTGTTGCTGAGAAGAGTAGAGCTCCCAGGGCACTAACAAGAGTAGGTTGCAAAGCCCAATTTCACATACGGTACGATGCAGATGCTGGTGGAGGGGGAAAGTATGTTGTGACTCACTTCGTCGCAGACCACAACCATGAATTGGCAGAATAACACTGTGTGATGTATCTGAGGCCACATCGCAGTTTAAATAGTGCTGACAAAGCTCAAGTAATGGCTATGCGCAACGTCGGTGTGAAGACTAGCCAAATCATGGACTATATGGTAAATCAATCTGGGTCTTATGAGAATGTTGGTTTCATCCGTATGGATCTGCACAACCATATTCAAGCTGAACGTAGAGCAGAAGTTGAGGATGGTGATGCGCAGGGTGCGTTGGTTTACCTATGTGCAAAACTTGATGTTGATGCACGTTTTTTTACAAGTATGATGTGTGTAACGATAACAAGTTACAAAATTTGTTCTGGGCAGATTTGAAATCGCGGGCCGACTATGCAAAGTTTGGTGATGTGTTGATATTTGACTCAACTTACAGAACCAATGCATACAAGAAACCTTTTGCCATGTTGGCTGGTGTGACTAGCCACTTTAGGACCACGATATTTGCATGTGTTTTGCTAGCTAATGAGACAATTGATACATACACATGGGTTTTGGAAACATTTATGGAGGCGATGGGTAATAAAGCACCTGTGTCCATACTGACAGATGGGAATAAGGCGATGCTAGAGGCAATCAGAAGAGTATTTCCAGACGCAAGACATCGATTATGTAATTGGCATCTTGGGAAAAATGCTATTTCAAATGTTCACAAAAGTGGCTTTGCATATGCTTTCAAGCAGTGCATAGACATGGAAATGGATGAGACAGAGTTTGAGCATGACTGGACGACAATGGTCGAAAAATTTGGACTTCAAACCAATAGTTGGGTGTTGGAGACATATGAGAAGGGTCATATGTGGGCTGAGGCATATATGCGTAGACATTTCTTTGCTGGGATGAAGAGCACTCAGCGCTCAGAGAGTATGAATGCTTATTTCAATTCCTTCCTCCAACACAAATTGAAGCTATATGAATTTGTTAGGCACTATGATCGGGCTCTTGCAAGGATAAGGTATAACGAGGCTGGAGATGATGCTGAAACAAATAACACTTTTCCGGTATTGATTACTCCATTGCGAGATATAGAGAGACATGGAGCTGAGCTATTCACCCGAAATATATTTAGAATGTTCCGTGATGAAATCTTAGAAGAGGGGAAGTTGAATGTCAATGACGTGTTCCCTTTGCCGGATGGTTAGAAATGCTACTATATTCATAAGTACAAAGTGAAGGATAGATCATGGATAGTAACACACAGTCCAGTGGATGCTGCAATGAGAAATTCTTGCATGAAGTTTGAGTCATTAGGGCTACCTTGATGTCACATGATATATGTTATGAAAGCCGAAAATTTAACGCAAATTCCCCCAACTTGTGTGCTGCATAGATGGACAAGGGCTGCAAGCAAGGATGGCCAGCAATGGCCTCAACCCTCAATTGATAGCATTACAGCACAGACGGCCCGGTATGGGATATTGAGTTCTTCCTACAATGAAATGTGTTTCTATGCCTCGCAATCAACAGAAGGTTTCAAAGAGGCTAGGAATGCATGTCTTCCGATGACAAGACGGATGAAGGAGTTATATGAGAGGAATCTGAACGATGGGAATGGAGACAAAGGGAAGCATTTATTCCCTCGACAATTTGGAGTAGAAGATCCTGATGTTGTGAAGACAAAAGGGAACCCGAGACGGGTCTCGTCTAACTGTCGAAGACCAAGAAAATGTGGGAATTGCAAATGCATTGGGCACACAAAGCGAACGTGTCCTAAGGTTCGGTTTAGCCGAACAGTGGGTAATAACTCAGATGCAGATACACCCCACATAACTGACCGTGAGTACAATGCGGAGTCATTGCCCGTTCGCTGCAAAACTGGGTTGGTGGATCCAAGTACACCGCACATTAAGCAACGGCGACTATTTTTCGATGTTTCTCCTAATTCCAAGAAGCCTGTGGGCCAATACGGTAGTGTTGAAGCAGCAGTGTGGAAAAATGATTCGAACACAATTGATGAGGTGAATCAGGTAATTGTATAATTTGTATGATTTACTTATTCCCTTAATTTATTAGGTAGACAATACTAGCTATTGAAAACACATGTAAATAATGTATGTAGTTTTCATTTTGCACGGATTGCTGTACGTAACGTGTAAATAATTGGTTATGTATAATGCCAGGAAATGGCACAACGTTACTTATGTACAAGGCCACGAGTTGTAAATTTCCCATATTGTTTAGAGTGATGTTGTCATTTGTGTTTGCAGTGACTTGTCATTTTCAAAACTAACTGAAGGTGAGGTGAGATATATATGGGTTGTCTGTGTGTTGTTTTGGGTGGGAAATTGGCTTATGTCTGTATTCCAAGATTCCTATTGCGGGTTGCTTGTTTCTGTTCCATATTTGGTTGGATCTAACTGAAGGGTTTTTTTGCGGTGTGGTTTATCAACTAACGATGTGTTTGGCTTCGTATTGATTTGTTATGACTTGTTTCGGTAAATTAGTATTATATTTTGAGTAAAATACGAATTTTGTCCATGTGGGTTTGCAAAATTACATCTCAGCACATGTATTTTGTATATAATCCAAGTGGCAGTTAATTTTGGGTGTTACTTGGGGAAAGTAACCCAACGAACTCGTTACTTTATCTCCATGCCGATTGCTATATGAATTACAAGTTGCGAACAGGAGTTGTGAAATTATTTCATGTTAACTATGAAAGTAATGGGTTTATTGTTATTAAAATTATGGTGGGCCTATATCGACAGCAACGAAGCAGTAATTTAAAGTTGACAAGTTAAAGAAGAAAATCAAGCAATTGTGGTATCGGTTCGAATGCTTGAAAAGGATGAAGACTTCTTTCGATGAACTGATGGTAAAAAAGTAAAAAGTAACAAAGTAGAAAGTAGAAAGTAAGTTGTTGTGTTGTTGTGTTGTTTGTGACAAAGTAGAAAGTAGAAGGGAAAAAACTACTCAGAAATTACAATGTGGAAAGTAGGTTGTTGTGTTGTTGTTCATGTCCTCTCTCTCTGCAAACATTCTGCCCTTTATAGCTATTATTTCCCACGACCCCATGATCTGCCGATTCTGCAACTGCTTCTGTGCAACTTCTATAACTACACGATCATTTCCGTGTATTGAAACCACATAAAAGCTTCACTTGTACCTGTCGAAGTGCATATAATTGAAGTTGCCACCTGTGCCCAGGTCCTTTTAGCCTTTCCTCGACAGATACAGACTCCCAATTCGTTCATGTTTCCACTTGGAGGCTGGCCACTAAATCCATGAGCACTGCCAGTAACTGCTCCAGCGTGTAAGTCAGGTGGCATGCAAGATTCAATGTTAGTTGAATGGAGCAGCTGTTGGGAGGATGTGGGAAAAATAGGTGCAAAGAGGAATTTTTAATCTAATATCCAATCAGAATGTAGCTGAAAATATGAGTGAACTTTTTAAAAAAAAAAAGTAGTTCCCATTTTTTTGATTATAAACCCGAGATGTATATTTTGTTTTTGATATAAATAAGTTGTGTATTTTCGTTACGTAAAATGTAGGACAACAATTGTGTTTAAGTCATTACAATACAGAAAAAGGTTATTTCAAACATATTTTCAAGTTTACCGACATTGAATATATCTTGATTAAATTACAGGGAAAATTCAATATTTGGCAGAGTTTGATGATTCATAGTCAGGGGCAGTAACTGTGAGTGGCCAAGTGTTGCGGTTCATTGACCCAGTTTGCAAGGACTGTGGTTGTGTTTAGTGGACAATATTCTGTCGATTTTTGTCTCATAATGATGAGGGACATGCCCCACAATGGTGAAAAGGAAGGTCGACAGGGAAGAGTCAATATTTGGCAGAGTGGACTTGAAGATTCGAAGTCGGGGCAGTTACAGTGGCAGTTATGGTGTAGACGTGTGGGATCATGCAATGATGGGCCACAAAAACAGTATACGGATATCAATACTAAACCTCCACTTCTATCTGTCGAGCTCCCTTTTCTTGTGTTTATTTCATGGCCACCAACTGTTTAAAACTTCTGTCGACAGAGCAAGGCTCCTGCTTTGTCTCATGCTTCCTCCTGAAAGTGTGCCCACTAACTCCATGACTGGTGGTAAAAACTTCCCCTATCACTTCTAGGTGACCCACATGCAGAGAGCCCACTTTCAGGTCGTGGACATTCCTTCAGACTTGGCCACATGCCCTCGATTAAGTGGACCATCTGTCGACAGAGACTGGCAAAACTTGGTGCAAACAATGGCCCCCATGTTCAAGTTAAATATTGCGGAAGTGATTGAGACCCCCCCAATCACCACCCCCCCCCCCACACACACACACGTGGGGGCTGCTGTTTGGAGAAGGAAAAAAAATAAGAAATTGAAAAAAAAAAAAAAAAGTGGCCAATCAGAGAGAGAGGGGGTAATGGGGGTCCAAGTCATATGATATTTAACTTCAACGAGGGGGCCATTGTTTGGGCCCAAAACAAACATAAACTACAGCCCAATATAAGAGCTTTTAAATAAACTGGCCCCATCATAAGCTATAAAAGACCCACCCTTTCAACTTCAAACCACTTCATTTCCCTTTGATTCGAACACCCCAGACTGTACTCCTTCTCAACCATTGCCGTTCAAAACCAAAGCACCACAAAACCCTAAGCCATGGCACCGAAAAAATCTCAACCATCTCCAGCTGAGGAGAACAATGAAGACCTACTCCACTTCCCAAACCCTATCAGAGCACGTATCGCTCCTCTAAAATTTGCTGCAACCCTATTGCCCAGCCCAAGCTCTGTCGCTAAGGCTACTCTAGGCCCTACCTTCGCGTCTTACTTCCCAGACGAGCTAGCTCCATACTATCCCCTTGGTAATGGTGAGAACCTTCTTCTCAACCAAGCTGGACTCAAGTGGACTAACTGGAATGTCAGCAAAAACCCACTCAGAGGGTGGAGGTCACCAGACTCTGATTGGCGAAGCTGGGCCAGGAGAATTGAAGGTCACGACGCCGAAGTATGGAAGCACCAGGGCATTGCTGAAGCAATTAGACTGTCGACTAAAATTTATGACGTGGAGAAAGGGCTGATTGCTGCTGCTGCATGCTTTTGGTCGCAGTCTAGTAACTCCCTACTCCTCAATTTTGGTATGATTTCCCCTACCATCTTAGATGTAGCTCACTTGACTGGTCTCCCAATCTTGGGCAATCCAATTCATGCTCTCCTTGAGCCTCCAAAAGTGACATTTACTTTAAACACTGACATGTGCTATACAGATTTTGCCAAAAAATACCAAGGCAAGCGTGGTTCCCCTGTCGATGACAAAGAAAGAACTACTTTTTACTTACTTTGGCCTTGTGAGTTTCTTTTTTGTGTCCCTGGGTACAAGATCACGAAAGAATACCTCCCCCTTGCCTTGTGTATGCAAGACGGCCAACTTATGGCTTTAGCCCCTTATCTTCTTGCCACCCTTTACAAGGCCCTATTTTCCTTTGTCGACAAGAAGATTTCTGGCAACTGTGGTGGCCCCTTCTGGCTCTTCCAGGCCTGGTTGTATGCCTATTTCCCTGAGGCACGACCCCCACCACCTAACACCTTGAAACCTGTTTGCCACTCCTATGCTGAGCAACTGCTCACTTATAACAGCCATTCAAAACTCACTTTCACAAATCATCTTACCATGTTTTACAACCTTCCTTCCCAGAGACCTTCCAACCTGTACATGCCATTTCAAAACTTTGAATTCTCCTCCAGTAGACTTCGCTTCCTCTTCACAGACCCTTCTAATTTACACAATGAGCAAGTCCAAGAACAAAATGAGAGTTGAAGACACATTCTCACCTGCAGACATGTCTTGGTTGGCTGTTCCATATCCTCCGCCAAGCTATCCAGCTGCAGTTTTGAGACATACTGTCCCAATCAATGGTCCAGGCAATTTGGTCTTTCCCAAGCTATCCCTTATCCTTATTTCCACCCAACCATCCATGAGGAGATTGGGTCCAGAATCCACTTGAAAGATCCTACACAAGCTGAATCCATTCTGACAGAGAACACCAAACTTTTCCAAGATTTTGGCCCCTTCTTCTTCAAACCTGCTTCGGACTAGAAGTTGAGGATGGTGATGCGCAGGGTGCGTTGGTTTACCTATGCGCAAAACTTGATGTTGATGCACGTTTTTTTTACAAGTATGATGTGTGTAACG